AGTACTAGGCAAACGCATAGAGAGCGAAGTGTAGCGATAATGAAAATAAAATCAGTCGTTATCCACAGAGAGACTTGTGAAAGGGTTTTACGTGGTAAAACAGTCCATACGATCATAACACAGATACCGTTCTCCGAATGCCTTCTACGGTATCGTATAGAGTGACAAAGCTCGTCGGCTTTGCGAAAATCGAATAATTTCTGATATTTTCATTGCTTTGAAATCCTGCTTGGCCAAGGCCAACTTCTCTGGAGCTGAACGCCGTCGGAAGCAATAAACGAATAGGCATCGGGTGACGATAGTGCGTACGCGATGGGTGTAGTAACAGTTAACAGTGTATAAATAGGTTGTAAACAACCTTATATATATATATATATAACACCAATATTTCCAGACACGACGCCAAAATAACCATGGGTGAACGAAAAAATATAGGTAATAAAGCGGGGAAAATAAAACAGTCAACTTCGGAGTAACATTTACTGCACGCCATTTTGAGTTTCTTTTCGTTTCTGTTTATTTTCGGGATTGCAAACAGGAAAGGATACATTCGCGCCACTCACTTAGGTTCAATGCCATATCCTGCAGTGCCTCCAGCTAAAGACAATCGGAATCTCTGAGGCCTCAGCCGGGGAGCCGGGAAACCCCAACGGAAGCCAGATCGCCACGTCATAACCTGCCCACCTCGCTGTTTTCCTCAGTCTGGACCGATGTCTGCGAATAGTGCACGGTGTGACAGACGGTGCTCAGGCATTCGTCGGATGTGCCCTAGCCACCTAAGACGATGCAATGAAATTATTTTGCTCAAAGGCAGAATATCTGATCCTGGCACCCCTTCGTCGTTATTCATGCGATGCTCCCACCGTACGCGGGCGATGTTGCGCAGACAGCAGTTGTCGAAGATAGTCGCTGGACGTGATCTGCTCGGAGAGGCCAGGTCTCGCAGCCATAGAGCAACACGTACGTACCGTTGCGCAATACACGCCCTTTCAGTGAAAGGGATATGTCCCGCCGGCGCCAGAGATGCCGCAGATTAGCAAACGCTAATCTAGCTTTGATCACGCGTTGAGAGATCTCGCCCACACCTCCACCAGCCGTTATGCAACTCCCAAGGTAGACAAAGCTTTTGACTACTTCCAGAGTGTCATTATCCAACGAAAGTGCAGGAATGGGTTCCTACCAATCTCGCAACAACAATTTGCACTTTGAAGGTGCAAAGGATATGCCAAAACGAGTAATCTCAATAGCCAAACGGTTCAACGACTCTTGAATCGTTGGCACGTTATCACCCAGTAAGGCAATATCACCGGCAAACTCTAAGTCTACAACTCTGTCCCCAGGAAGAAGGTCGACGCAAGCGTTCGCTACGTTATGTAACGCGTTTTGTAGGAAATCATCAAAGTTGAAGAGAAACGGAGAGATAGGGCAACCCTGTCGCACCCTGCTGGTGACAGGAAATGAGGGTGAAAGTTCACCATAGGCCCTAACCTTCTCCGAGGTCTGCTGATAGAGCGCTTTTAGGAGTGAGACACTTCTCGGGTATTCCTTATCTCCGCAAACGGTTCCACAGTGCAGGATGATCGGTAGAGTCGAAGGCCGCTCTGATGTCTAAAAACATGACAATGGGCATAACCTGCGTAATAAAAGGGACGTCAGCAGCTTCGGCGCTATTGAAGTCAGACTTATGCCCCTATAGTTGGAACAGGCGTTGTGACAGCCCTTCCGTAAAGCTTTTTAACCCGGATTTCGTTTTTTGGCTATAATGGGGCTTATTGACACTGCGCTTGTTGTTAATTCTCAGAGTTAGCGCTGGCGGGAAGGCGTTGGTACGCTTCGACTGATAGGCTGTCTTGCGCTAAGAAGTCTCTTCCGACAATAAGACTGGAAAACAACGATTGTAAATGACCACTTTATGGGTTTGGTCATTGAAGTCTTTCGTAGTTCACCTGATGTCAAACATACGAATAGTCGATCCGCGATAATATGTCTTCAAAGAAATCAGACTCTGAAGACTCAATGGTTAGAGTCACCAAGTGCGATTTTAGCACTACAAACCAAACTCTCGGGCTTGACGCGCAGAACGGCGAGAGTTTAAAAAGTGGTGACAATCACGGAATTGAGGCCATCAAATTGATTTAGAGATAACATAGAAAACTATAAAAACCTATAAGCGTGCCTCGAATATATATATATATATATATATATATATATAATTTACCACCGGCTTGTGAGGAAGCTTGATGCCAACGCAACAAGAATAACGAAAATCAGGGTTTGACTTTGGGATACAAAAGAGTGAAATGGGATCAAACAGGTAGAGTGAATAACTTTTTTTACCGCACGCTTTTCAAATCTTTTGCTTTAGTTTAGTGTTTTTTTATGGAACACGAGGTTTCGGGGGACATACCGTGCAGCATACCGCCACTGACTTCAATTCTGGACCATATCCCTCAGTGTCTCACATATATTTGCTCCATATAAAATTAGTTTCCAAATGTTTTTTTTAACAATTGAGAAAAAGATTGAAAATACCTAGTGAATGGAATAGACTCATCGAAATCGGATTGAACATTCAATATATTACGGTATCTTCGGCTTTTAATAACTTGGATCGCTGGTGTTAATCAAGACTTCTCATCAACGATAGGTTTCACTTCCTTTTTTGTTACCCATTCGTAATAGTCGAGACCAAGATCGGGTTATTTGTCCAGGTATTTTCTGAGAAGTGGTAAAAGGTTATAGACGAGTTACGGCTATGCTAAATTAGCACTCAAACAAGCTGGTTGTAATTTGAAGTAAATTTGAACAGAGTATGAAAAATGTACGATACAAAAGCGGTACAGGTGCGGTGTATTTGAGATTATTAAAAGCACAATAATAAAAAATTGAAATTCGACTTCAGGAAGTCAAATTTGTCATTCCTATTAGGGAGGTCTCGTTCGAGGAGAACTGTTACCATTGTTTGACGATATGTGATTCCTTCGATGATACATTTGATAGTGCCCGTTTGGAAAGAGAAGTATCTTATTCCGAAGAGGTGAGCTGTGAGCCTTTTTGATTCTCGTGGGTTTGTGACATAATGTTAAAATCAGGTTTAAATTTCCCCTAAGCTCAGAAGTGTGGCTGGTAAGCGGACCAGTCCTGTATCCTATCGCATCAGTGTTTGGTTCATTTGGCCATGACGTAATAATCACGGTTGTCGTGTAAAGATCTACGTTGAAATGAGCGAAGGGAATTAGTCAGGAAATCGAAACTGCCGTTGTGAGACTCGTTCAAAGAATCGTTACATATGCTGGACGAAGTTTGGGTGTTTATTCGTTGCTAAGGTTGGATCCTTGCCTTCAGAATAATTAATGCGTTGTAACTGTTTTAGGTTAACCTGCTTCTTCATTGGGAGACAATTTGCAGTCATATTTGATCTTTTTAATCCTCCCACCCAACTCAGATCACCTGATCACTTATAACTGGTCAATGGATATACGGGCTTTTCGCACTCACCTTAACAACACACGACTGTTACAAATGGATTAAGCGAGTTTTCTTTAATAGAAACGTCAAGAAACGTATTTTTAGACAAGGAACGATCATCACTCTATTCCTAGGGACCGTAAAACTTTCCCGAATAAGGTTTGCCGCAGTCTTTTTATAATGAAGTGATGCAAAGCAGATTAAAAGAATGCTTATGAAATCCCGGTAACCGAACCCTGGAATTAGGATTGGTAAACGAAAGTAGAATACGTGTTTTATCGGGTCAAACGATAGCGCGATCGACTACCGCCCAAGGGAAGTGGTGGTGTCAAGTTTCCAAACGCACGTTAGCCTGAAACCCACTAGTGGTAGATACCAAAAACGGTTGATCACTAGTAAGTAAGATGTGAACAAAACAGTACGTTATTGTCAAGATATACTAATTCTTTCGAACGTCCTCTCATTATCCGCTATATGGCCTTGAAATTCCATAACCTGGTTTTTTTCTGTCTTAACGATCATTTGATTGACCGCTTCTCTCTTTCTGAAAATTGTACCATTACATAATCAATGAAAGGAAAAAATGACTATCCACTTATCACCATTTTTCACTTATATACTGAAAATACTGGAGTTACTCCTTCCGTGATCACTCACGTTTTACATGTTATAAAAATCTTGGTGTTCAGCAGATACCCGGCTTCACAAACTGCCTCTGAGGTTCTACTTAAAATCGTACTCTTTGACTTAACGAGAGAGCGCGGAACTGCATTTTTACAAAATTGTTGTTCCATTTTAGTGTTTACGACTTATTATGAACCCCTATTCGTTCAAACGATTCCTTGAAAATCCCGGACGACCACGGCATCCGATTCAGCTTGTTCAAACGGGATCAAACCAAATAATCGTCCAAGGTGATCTTCCTGATTGTGTGAGGAATGGAGATACAGGTTTTTTGACCGCCACCGAAACAACATTATCAGTTGATTCTCTGGGTTCATCATACCATCAAATGTCTCGTCCTAATCTACTGCAAACAACTCCATTGGATAACTCGGTTGTTGATTCCGACCTCACTACAGGCGTAGAGGAAAACCAACACACTCTGTTCCAAAGTCCTGCCAGATCCCAGTTACCGGATATTCATCTGTGCACTACAAGTGAAACACGATCAAATCCGAATCTGGACACGACTCGTACGCAGAACTGTAATGAATCTTTGCATCGTGGGATAGCCAGCGTTTCTCGTGGTCTTCCCGATTTTCTTCCCCACGAATTCGTGGAGGTTGAAACTGATGGAACACCAGTGGACACCCACAGACTTCCAATATCTAGTATCAGTCAAAATTTCCCGCTACAAAGTACATCCCTTCCGACACTACCCGTGAACGTTGCCGAATGTCACTCGCATTTTGCTTCATCCTCAAAATCGTTTGAACATTTGGCTCATGCTATTACAAGTAAGGGTAAGACCAGCGCATCAAATCTGAATGATCCGAGAGGAGTTGTTGGTGGATGGAATTCTGAACGGATGGGAGCAAACCAAGCTATGGAATCTGATAGCCGCTGGAGCACACACACGACCCCATCTTCGTCTCAAGCTGATCCTTTCGTAGATGCACATCCGGTCAGTCTATCTGGTTCGATCACTAGCCCAGACCCACGGTTTCTCAGTCAACAGGAGCGGATCGAGGCGGTAAATTTCCTTATGGTTTACTTAAAGCCGGATATACTACTTTCATTTATTTATCTGATAGATTGGTATGTGACACAAAATAAGTGATCTCTATAGACGATCACTGTGAGAGATTAAGGCTTTTGTTAGTAAGAATATGCTGTCAGCGGTAGTTGCTTTAAAAGTTTCACTGTCAACTTGGTTATTGAGTAAGTTTTGTATGCAATAGGTGTCTTTCGTTAGAATGCAATTCTCATTTCAGAACTTATCCACCGCAAAAAGCGATGTGCAAACCTTTATTCAAAAACGATATTCCTAAGCAAAAATCAATCAGTAGTCCTGTCCCAAAGTCCAGCAAACACTCATCTGGCTGTTTTACTGTTTTTAACCCTGTTTCTCGTTTCACGGCTATAGTCAGCTGAAAATACAACTATCAAAAGCTGCCGTTAGCGAAATAGACAGGTAGATCTAAGCTTCGTTAATCAGTCTTAAGCTTAATACCAATTCTGACCTAACTAACTAGCATCTCATTTTCAGTGAGATCCGTTCCATCCATGGATCTCGTGTGATTAATATCCTCTCTTCCTCTTTATCCAAATTCTCAGCCAAAAACTGCAATCAAAATCGGTGCGCCTAAGTGCAAGGTTGGGCGAACCGAAACTGAAACCTTATCATTCATCAAGAGACGATGTTATCAAACTCAAATAATAATATCATAGGCATGCAGAAGCCAATGGAATTGGAAAGGCGGTACACTTAGTGAACGGTGCTACTGGTTTCGAAAGTATTACTTAGTTCGTAAAAGGTATGTGTGAGTACAGTGACTTAAATCGGTTGATTTGCCGCATGGACATCCCTTTATACAGACCACCGTAAGTAAAGGGTGACTACGAGTTGTATCAAATTAGGCCGTCGTTTTGGACCAGATTAAAATTTTGCATAATTTTAACATTTGGTTTGAAGCAGAAGTAATGCATCAGCGCATTCACTAGTACAGAAAACCGGAGTTAAAATACCAATATCCATAAAAACAGCAATTGAACGTGAATGAAATTAAGTTGAGTACCACCGTTCATTTTGCCTCACTGAAAGGAGCAAAATAATTTACTCTTCTTTGCATATTATCAGCAAAGCATCTACCGAGACCGTTTCTGGTCGTTTTTGAGTTGCCTCAAAACCCAACATTTTCCGTGGGTTCCGTTTTTCTTGCTCGGCAATTTTCGTATCTATGTGGGTTTTCGTAAAATACCTCTCAGGAGTGGGTTCAAACGTCCAGACCAAACCTTTTATTATGACGAAAATATTTACGTTTGTTCACAAATTCAGATTACATTTGTTGCAACAGTTTAAGTCGAACTAATATTTTCGTTCAAAGCTTTTTGCCCTTGTTGTTCTATAAATAAGCATAAATTACTCAAACGGGTCCTTGTTCAACGTGAAGAACGTAAAGTAACATCTAAAAATCGACCGTCCTCCTTGAAGTGGCATTGCTGTCTTTCAATACTGTTTGATGCGTAACCTAATTGCTCCAGTATTTCTTCCGCTATCCTCAGACAGGTCATTTCAATTTGATGCAATAAAATGCATCCCTTGACTTAAATATCTTATTACGGAAATTTCGCGCCTTGCGCGTTATCATTGATAGAGGTACGGGATTTATATTCAGCCATGACAAGACTTCGTGATGATATTCCATTTTTCGAAAGGCCTTTATCGGATTAGTAGACCTGGTTTTCTCTCACCTACACCAAGTTAGAAGAACATTGAAGTGTATGTAAGTGAGAAAAAGAGAAATGCCCATAGGCGTCCAGTGATTGAGCAAACATTCAGTGATAGCGGATTTGAGCATTCATTTCTGTAAGATGACTTTGAACAGGTCCTTATCTAAGGCTCGAATCTCTAACCCCAAATTCCATACCGGTTTATTAGTACCTGCAGTTTTATAAAGTCATACATAGGCAAACGTTTCCAGTAAATCTAGTCGTATACATCCATTTTTGCACTCCATGTTGTAATGAAGAGATCTCGCTGTTCCATAAGTGTTCAAACTACAGCAACTTTGCGGTCGTTCTGGACATTATTACATCACTTGATTAGCGAACATTACGCTATCTCGTTTTGGGAATTTTGCGAAAAACGATAAACTGTTTTGAACCGGACTACAGATGGGCACCTTTATTGTATATAAGATTGTATAAATACTTATTTTTATCACTCTCTATTTCATGATGATCAACAGAAAAATTAAATCCCATAATCACTAGGACTTGGCTGTTTGCTTGTCACAAATGGCACCCTAAGCTTTTAAAATTGTAGTAGCAAACTACACAAAGCCCCATTAGGACACAAATGATGTCGAGCACAGCCGATCACTATCAAGATTGAGTAACCACTGTACATCAGTCACTCCGCACCGATTGAAAAGATTCCTAATTCGCCCCGAGTGCTGACCTGATACCTCTCTAACTGAGCTCCTGTTGTCACCACTGGAATGAGAATAAATGGAAGACTATTACCTACCAGTCGGCGTGTTACGCATTTGCCGCGCTAGAACTTAAGTTATCTGCTTGGTCTTCAAGGTTAATACGTTTTCAGTCAACAAGATTAAACCAACCGCACTAGTTTGCTGTCGTCATTCGAAAACTATCCTACAAAGTATTTAACGTGCTTATATGAATGCTAACTTTCCCAAGTAAAAATGCACTGCAAATTACAGCGATGGTTAGGATCTTGCTCGACTGAAAATCCGAGCACGGGCAGTAAGCAAACACTAGGTTGGCTAGTTAATCTACATGTCCCCACACAGCCATAGTGTCCTTGCTGAAAACCAACTGAACTATTACTTGTTTCATAAAAACAAGAGATAAAATGAAGTTTTTCCTACATGTGGTGATGGTACAAACAAACTCCCAGGGAGTGAAACCCACTCATATTCAGGCTCAGAGCACAGACAAAATCAAATGTACTCATTCAAACAAAAATGTGACTTGGAATGTTGTGTTATTGTAATTTTCATGATTCCTATGCCAATTCACCGACACACAAGATTATGTGATAACTAAAGCATTATTTAAGTATCGATCCATTATTTGTTTGTGGCTGCAATTGCTATCGGGTTACCTGGTCGATCTGATCCAGACTGCCTAATTCACTGTAGCGTTCAATCAAATCGATGCCCTTGATGACCAGGGTGTCGTGAGGCCAGACAGGTTTTACGCCTCCCCTTATGAGGCTTAAAATTGAGTTTTTAAATCTACCCTAGATATACAAGCTATTAGTGGCTCATCAATTTGAAGATTGGCTTTTCACCCCCTCATCTGATTTACTTGGTTGAGTTTGTGATAGAACAGTGATGATTGAAGCAGGTTGTTCATTCTCAAGTCCAGGTTACTTCTGTTCTAGTTGTTTTCGCCTTTATTTTCAGGGGTGCACAATTGAACGCAAAAGGTACTTTTGGGCGCTCTAGTAGTTATAGAATAGTGCTAAAAGTCCGAATATGAACCCGATCTGTAATGTAACATTTCGATTCAGACTGGGACTCGTTGTCAAACGATAATGTGCGAATGAATTGAGTCTGCTTGTGCCTCATGTTATGGTTTGTGTAGCACCTGTTTGTCCATCAATCTCGCGTTCCTCATTGATTGTGCAATCGTTGCGTATCTTTTGTTGATTTCGACGTGCCGATTGAATGAGTTGGTCCAATACAATACAAATGACCGTTGGTGAACAATTTGTTCTCCAGAGCCAAAATAATCCGTTCCAGTGAAGCAATAGGTTTCGATTTGCGCCGCATATCAACGGCACTGCGTGAAAATGGATACCTTGAGAAGTTTATCGCAAAATATGGAGTGTCGTTAAGTAAATGTGAACAGAGTGACGCCGTCTCGAGGAAAACTTCTTTTCGTCATACCGTTTAAAGGTGATCAAAATAATAAGCGGATACGGCGCAAGTCAAAACAGGCAATGGACAGAACATCTAGTGCTGCCTCCCTTATATTACTGCACGACACGAAACGAATGCTAACTGAATCCAATCTAGACAAACCGGAATCTTCAGTTACCTCCACATGTGTTTACCTTTTTCAATGTACTTGCGATAGTAAGTACGTCGGAAGAACTGAAAGACGATCGTTTACCAGGATAGCAGAGCATGCACCGAAGAATTTAGCAACCAGCCGTTCCAAGCATCGATCCAATTCAATCGCCAGTTATATACCGGATTGCGAGGAATGTGACAAACCTAGGAACGCCTTTCCTGTCTTGGTCCGCCAGAAGGGTAGCCGTCTAGTACGGTTCCCTGAAGTATCTTCCATTCGATATTACAAATCCGATTTGTGTAAACCGAATTAGTGACCGGCTTTGCGCTGCCCTGGTAGATGTCACTAACCTCCCCTCTTGCAGTGATTACACTCNCACTCCCTCACCCATACCCAATCGAGCTCAATTTAGTGACCTTTGGTCTGCGTATTGATCGATTTCTCTTCCTCGTGTGTATTAGCCTTTTCCCGAACCCGTCGCTTTTTTAACCAAACGTGATCTGAATGTGTTTACACAGTTGATGAGACTACCACGAAACAGTTGAATTCCACACGTCCTATAAACATGATGCTTTTTCTTACTCTCATAAAGATGGCAAAAGGAAGTATTTGCATGAAAATATTGTACTTTAACCTACGAAAACCCCAGTATGGTTGGGGGTCAGTATCGTTCGTATCCCTTCCCTTGCACCTGCTGGAATGCTGTTTAACTTTCCAGAATTCAGCCATAGCACTGGAAGTTTCCCAACTTATCAGCGTATTCGGGGCTTATGTTTTGTTTGACGCAGCTGCTCCAATTTTTCTCTGGTCCAAGATGAGTAGGAATCGTTGGATTCTGTCGAATTCGTTATTGATCGAATTACATCAATGTTTTTGTACCTTATTCACACTCGCTCTTTTTTAATCTCTCCTATCACCCCAGTTGGCTGTTCGATTGGAAGAGACTGAACAAGAATTACGTGAAACCCGTCGTCTATTACGTGAGCAGACGCAACTGTAAGTGTACTTTATTATTGTTTATACATATTATTGGGCTGTCTCTAAAAAAGAACGGTAGATGGGTTGCGTTTTTTCTCTTGTACACTTTCGGTGGTGATTGTGACGGCCAAGCGGTTTAAGTTACTGCCACTGGTGCACTTTGGACTTTTAAATCCATGGTTCAAGCTCTACCTTCACCAGACGCTTGCAGTGGTATGCAGCTTCATTGGAGTCCGGTTGCATACTCCATCAGCGATCAGCTTCAGTTATCATACAGGTCCTTGGGATGATGGTCTTTACTCCGGCTTCTGAAAGTCGCACTAGGATGTGTAATGAAAGGTCTGTGACTCACCGGTAACTAAAACTACCACGGTTAGTTCGTGAATGTTTATGGACGAAGTCAGAAGTGGACCCCTCAATTTAATCCCTCGGTTTCAGTTATCCTGAATGACTTGAAATTGAGAAATTGCCATCGTACTCCTTGTTTCCACTCGTTATTCACTAGGCTTTCCCTTTTGTGTTCCATACTAAACCAAAACCTACAATGTTCGCCACCCACCCACCTTAACATTTTATCGTTTTTGAGATTTTCTTTTTAAGCCACGCCCGCTCTCTATCGCCTGAGTTTATCTTGTGGCATACGGTCCCACTCCTTGTATTTGTATAACTTTGGGGAATCAACAACATGAGCACTGAAATTTGGATTAGTAAATCGCATCAGGCCCCCTGATAAGATCGTACACAATTTTCAATCTCGTACCCGTACGCCAGTCTGACTGATTCGCTTGTCCATGCTGCACTCCTGTTTATTGATTCGGTCCGAAAACCCTTCATGGTCAAATAATTTGTTTACGAAATGTAGATCAATAGAAAGAGAAAAGTGTAAAATATCACCAACGTGATGTTGACGAAAGGGTGTTTGTTTTTTGTATAGAAATTTTGAGGCTCATCTGTTATTTCAGTAAACTTCTCCGGATAAACATATAGAAGACCTAGTTGTTCGAATGTGTTTTCTCTTCACATGTTTCCTTTGGTTCTTGTTTGTTGGTCCTACTGTCGAATGCTATTCGGTTTGTGTTTCTAGTTTCCATAAGTATGATTTTAGTTAACCTTGACGACCACAACGGGGTTATCATATCGCTTGTGGCCGCATAATGAGAACTACCCTAAACAAAGATCCTAGTGATATATTATGCGAAACAGACCCCATAAGTTGCATTTTTGAAGCTGTAGTGGATGCCTCACTATAATCATTCTTTCACCTCTATTTTCATCATTCAGACTATACAGAGTTCGTGCCGAATCGGAAGTTGTTCG